AAAGAGAATCATCATGGTTTAATCACTGTGGAAACGAACATGGGAATCACCGGTGGCCCTTTTTGCACACAGCTTAAAATTTAATTAAAGTAAAATTAAGCTTTGTATCAACAATTGTTCCCAGATATTTACTGAATAGATTCCACAATCTGACCTTTAATAGAAGTTTGACTCAAAAATGAGTCAACACCTATTGTACAAAAAGGTACATGCACAAAATCTGCCATAAAACCCTGACATAGCATTTAACCCTTTAAATGGGGATGGGACATTTGTGGTGATGTGTAAAATTATCAGAGGACCTTTTTAACTTTCAGAAACACCTCAAATGTTTTAACATAAAGAGAAAACCAGTGACACACTCCAGGGGAACCACAGACTCTAGACTGAAGGTGGACTGAAGTATGAGGAAGCTGAACTGAAGAGGATAAACATAAGAGAAGTCTTTCTGAGAGAGGAGAAGTCACTGAAAAAATAGTACCTCTGTTTAACACATTCATCATTCTTCATTTACTGTGAGATAAGATCACAGCATGCTTGGTGAGAAAAATGCAGAGAAATGCAGAACTGACGTGTGAAACACTGAACTGTGATGAAGGTATTTTGATAACAAAACGTTGCTGTAATCATGTTTTTTCAACTTGTTAAATGTCTGTATTTGACATTACATTTTTACCTGGACCATTAACACATAAGTCATACATAACACGAAGCAGAACCAAAGTTATATAAATGGCACTCTTATATGGGCTTGAAGGGATATGGAATAAAACACGAGTGTTTAAAGCCATTACATGTAAAAGTTTGATTAACTTTATTGTTTCCTGTAGAATTAAGCTGATAAATGATTTCATGTTTCATGGTTGGTGTCCTCCTGTCTTTGCTGTGGCTGCAGACAAGTTCAACCACAATAGCAGGCAAATAAAATACAAGAAATAATGTCCATCACATCAATAAATGCACTGATCTGACCTCAAATGTAGCTCGTGGTACTGTGTACTCCACTGTACTTGTTTGGCCAAATGTTATGATTAAAAATCTGGTAAAATTAGTAAAATTGTAGAAAAAACATCTTTAATTCAGATCATTACTGAAAATTAAATGTGGGAAAAATATGATTAGAAATTCCCTCATTTTACTTTTAAGGTAAAGGGTCTTTACCTTACAATATAAAGCCCATTAAGGTAACTGTTTTTATGACTTAACAGGCCCTAGCAGGGCCTCCTGAAACTGCCCTTGTACCGCCTCCTCGTCTCTTGCTCCACCCCTCTGTCTCTCTCTCAGTCTTCTCTCTCCCCAGGACACAGCTGCTGTTCACTGGCCTCGTTTACCACCTGGGCCCAGTCAGCAATCACCTCCGTGAGGTCATATAAGCTGGGGATGAACTGGATGTGGGAGGGTGGTTTT